TTAGATAAACAAGTAAGAAAATGTGATAGTAAAGGGGTGATGCGAGGATATAGTATAGGTAAATAGCTCAGGACAGGAGAGATACCACAACTATTTTGCAGATGATTGGTCAAAGGATCTACTTAATTTGTCTCTTTGATAAACTGTAGTGTGGTGCTAAGAATGGTAAGGCTTACTGACGATGCCGGCGAAATGTCTGGGAATGTACCAAGTCCATAGTCCTCTAGGAATTATCATACATATTATGGACTCCGGACTAGGTACGTTCCTCTAGGTCTACCTGCCAATATGACGAAGTTGGGAAAACAAGATCAAACAACCAACAACCAGTTCAGCATTATAAATCTACCACAATGTTCATGATGCGAAAACACCGTCAGGCCAAGATATTTTACTTGCGCTAAATGCTTCAATTTTAGAAGGCTCTGTAGCTGCCACGAAAAAATTAGACGAGATCTAATAATAAATTCTTCGACAAAGATGTAAATACATGTTTTTACAATTACACGATAGATGGACGACAAACAGATAGTTTAAGATTCCACGTGGTAATTATGTCAAAGAGCCCGCGATAAAGATAGACTAAAACGCATCGACATCACAAGAATGCTCGACTAAACTCGCAAAGGCTTTCTGTATGGCGGTAGAAAAATCAATGCACTGAGAGAATAAGAGTGTTTGTGCGTCTAATTATGAACGATGAGCAAGTGAAACTACAGATTAGTCACTATGAGGCATATGAAAGGGGATAGGTACATAAGATAAATTTAATAAATAAAGTTAATACGATAAATTTGGCATTGAAAGCTAAAAAATCGATATAGCTGGTTGTTTTTGTAAAGTTTATTCTAGACAAGGAAAGAATGGTGGAATAATAAGCTCCGAATGTTACAAATACTATGATGAACTGCTTCAGAACTTACTTTGTTTCGTCTACTTGTCAAACTCCAAGTTATTGTTCTATTCTGCTTCACAGGAGCTCTAGTGGCCTCTGAATGCCGAGCTAGAGTCTTTGGGAAATCAACCGAAGCTGTAAACCAGATTTCTGCAGTAGGGTAATCAAAATCATAAGCAAAAGGATTGCTTAACTCGAGATCGCTATTATTGTGTTTAACATTCATAACCGATGTCTCCAACATAAAGCCAAGCTGTTTAAAGAGTAGTGCAGGAAGCTCCATCTCATTCAGGTTGTGGTCGCGAATTTGCACAAGCCGCCGAAGCAAAGATTTAGAGTCAGAATCGGTAGAATTTAAATGCTCCCAGCACCAACCTTCCAATCGTGGGAAGGTCTCTTGAGGAAGCGAGTTGGATAATACAACAACCTCGAAAAAGTAGTCACCAGGAGGCAAATCAGATACTACGAAAATAGCCTCACGAGGATGGCTGGACTAATTAATAAATAATACAGAAGGAACATTCATATAACAAGGTTAAGGAAATTCAAAAAATAGAATTTATGCAAAAATTGAGTTACAAAGAAATATAAGCAATAAAAAATTATAGGCAATAAATAATTAATCGAATATCTTGGTTAATAATTATTGAGCTCACT